CTAACAGGTGGGTCGAGAAGGCGGGCCCAAACGGCCAGGTCGAGCAGGCGGGTTGCTGAAGCGTGAGTACTGCATGACTCGCGAGAAGAGCTCGAGCGATAGCGCGAATCCTAAGAAAATCGTGAGAAAGGTCAGTGCGAGAACGTGAGTCCTAGATGTCGATGGCGCGGCGTTTGAAGAAATTGCGAGAAGTCCCACGCGAAAGCGCGATTCATGCATACATTGTAAGGAAGTCCAGCGCGAGAGCGCGATTGACATACATTGCGAGGAAGTATCAGGCGGGAGCCGTTGTTGTTGAAATGAACTCGGGGGCCAGGGGCACAGTTCGGTGACCCCCCAGCTGTCCCCTGTAAAAAGCAGGGTGCGAGCATCGAAAAAGCACCATGTGCCCGGGAGGGGTGATCAACAACAATTACTATTCAGCAGTGATCGGTCAACAACACCAACAACAACATCAACAACAACAATCATCGTACGACAGTTGGCTCCTACCTGCTCGCGCGACACTCGACACGTATACCCCAAGCCCTTGGTGCCCGCCCTCTTCGTGTTCGACCAAACCCCATTGGGTGTATTATCTTCCTGACCTGACACGTGCACTTAGTACAGCCCCAAAACAAGGGAAGAGAAGACGGATGGAAGGGGGAGGAAGAAGGATGTACAAGAGAGAGTAGCAGGAGGGGGGCTGGGAAACAAAGACACGTGGCAAAACCAGACGGGCGGGGAAACCTTAACGGGCGGGTCGGGAAAGCGGGCCCAGGCGACCAGGTCGAGCAAGCAAATTGCTGAAGCGTGAATCATGCATGAACCGCGAAGATGCCTCGAGCGATGGCCCTATTTCCAAATGAGCCGTGAGAAAAAAACAAGAACGAGCGCGTGATCCCTGCGTGTCGCAGGAGCGGCGTCTGAATACATGGCGAGGAAATTTAACGCGTGAGAGCGATTCCTGCATACATTGTGAGAAAGTCCCGCGAGAGAGCGCGATGTTGCAATGAATGGGGCAAAGGAGAAATCGACAACAGCAAGAACACTCAATTTACCCTCACGCGCGATGTCTCCACACGAAGCATGCGACCAGCATGATAACAATCCTCATCATGGAAGACTGTTGTTCTATAGCGGGGTCCATTATTCCCATTCCCTGATCTCCCGCCCAATGAGGTCTTGCAAACACCTCCTCCGAGGAATTTCAACATATCCCGCCTCGAAATCACATGCCCGCGCCTTGCTGCGCCGATGCGAGACCGCCATTGGAGCCCCAGCCAAGGGTAAAGCACAAGGAAGTATCGAGCGACAGGATTGCCTTGGTGGGGGTGGGGGCTGTCGGCGCGAGGCAAGGACCTGGCCCTGAATAGAAAGGGAGGAAGTCTCGAGCTGGGCCGCTGTTGTTGCTGGGAGCGGCGCCAATGCTGAAGAGAATAGGGCGCTAGTCCAGCGTAAAACAAAACGAAGTCTCGAGCGGGAGTGCTGTTTTTGTTGGGACGGCGGTTGTCGGCGGCGAGGAGGAAAACCGCCTTGAGTAAGAATGGAGAAAGCCTCGAGCGGGAGCCGTGGTTTTGTCGGGACGGGGACTGTCGTGGCGAGGAACAGCAGCGGGAGCGTCGTTCTTGCTTGGAGCGGCGCCAATTCAAAAGAGAATAGGACGCCAGTCTAGCGCGAAACGAGAGGAAGCCTCGAGCGGGAGTGCTGGTTTTGTTGGGACGGCGGCTTTCGGCGGCGAGCAAGGGCACCCGCCCTGAGTTAAAAAGGGGGATGTCTCGAGCGGGAGCGCTGTTGTTTTTGGGGTGCCGGTTGTGGCGCCCCCCACACCCACTCGAACGTGAGCCTCAATTTCAATGAAAATGTAGCCGGCGCGGAGGCGAGAGCGCCAAAGCGCAGGGGGGGGTCCAACAATGACAATAGTAGTTAACATTCAACACCACCAGGACCAACAACAATAAACATCGTTTTAAGACTCTTCGCTCCTATTTGTTCACGTGCCAATTAATACGTATATCCCAATACCTCGGTACCAGCCCTCGTCGTCTTCGATCGTACCCCCTTGGGGGTATATCTTCCTTACCTGCCACGTGAACCTTGAGAAACCTCTAAAACAAGAGAAGAGAAGACTGGTGGAAGGGGGGCAAAGAGCAGAAAACAAGTGGTATAACCAGACGGGCAGATCGGGTGGGCAGACCCATAGCGGGCAGGTCGGGAAGGCGGGCCCAGGCGACCAGGTCGAGCAGGCGGGTTTCTGAAGCGTGGGTCCTGCATGAATCGCAAGGACGTCTCGAGCAATAGCGCGATTCCCCAAGTAAATCGTGCGAAAAACTAAGGCGAGAGCGTGATTCCTGAGCGCCGGGGGCACATCGTCTGAATCAATTGCGAGGAAGTCCCACGCGAGAGATCGATTCGTATACAACTTGTGAGGAAGTCCCGCGCGAGAGCGCGATTTGGGAATAAGCTGTGAGGAAGTATCAGGCGGGAGCCATTGTTGTTGTAAACCGGCGGCCAGGGGCACAGTGTGAGCCGAGTGACTTTCCCAGATAAAAACAGGGTGTGAGCCCCGGCGGAAACACTTCAACGAATAAATACAATGGTCACCGGAGGGGGGGGGATGAACAATACTTAGTCTTCAATAGTGTTAGTTCAAAAACAACAACAATAATACCAACGACATCAACATCATTAACAACACCAAAAAACAACAGCATCAATAAAACAACAGCGACACAAACACAAACAAGCGATCCCAAAAAATATATCCTCGAGCCTTCCGAGAGAGTAGGTGATAGGCCGGGCGCGCAGAAGAGGATTGGGGCGAAATGGCCAGCCTTGAACGTTGTCAAGGGGCTTCTTGGAAGGGGTCGGAGGGCTGGAGAGGTGTTCTCAAAGCAGGATAACAAAAAATGCGTGGACATAAACGCTTGCAGGATCGCGCGGATGTCTTCCGCGGGGGGCGGGAGGCGCCAGAGTAGAATAGGCGTCCGATTGGGGTTCTCATCGAAGAGGAATCCTGCTTGTGTTCTGATCAACACGATCCGAACTTTCTAAAGACGGCCATCAAATCCATCGAGCCTAGTCGACCCGTATCCGATCCTACTGGACTCTATTTGTAGTCGGCTTGGGATTTCATTGGAATCCGATTGGAAACCTATTGCAATGCGACTCGGACAATACAACAATCATACTTGCTTAAGGGTCGTTGCTGAAAACAATCCGGGAGTTTGTAGTTTGCAGATGTTCCGTCGTCTGTCGATCGCGCGGACCTCGCAACTATTAGATTCCTTAGACGCGACGGAACCACAAAATTTACAGAAACACGCACACACACAACAAAAAAAGTAAATACGCTTGCGGCGAACACCTGCAACCTGATTAAACACGATTGGGCTCAAACTGAAAACAGTCTGCAAACGCGCCCCTGCAACCACTGGAACACAAAACAAGCTTGCGAGCATGGGAGCTTACACACGCAATATCGCCTATTGGATTCTGCGAGGAAGCGAGCAGAAGTCAGCAGCAGTCAGGACAACAAAGAAGAAGAGAAGAGATAGAACAGAGAAGAGGAATGCGGGGCAATATATCGGCCACGCGGCCAGGACAGCGGAGATGATGAGAGGAAGGGGGAAGAAAGTGGAGGGCTGCCCGGATACAGAGGAGGCCGACATGTTGAACAATCTCTCCTTTTTCGGCAAAAATGCACAAACGATAAAACCGTACTGGAAACGTATTGCGAACGGTCCCAAACGAAAAACTTCGATCCCCGGCCCGAGGGGGGTGGATATGTTGAGGAATTGCTGGCTGCTCGCTGCAACCTGCAATTCCTCCTGCCGACTCCAGCTCATCTGCTAATGCTTGCGAGTAGACGGCCATGCAAACGCAACGCTGCGAGACAGACCTGGAAATCATGAAGAATCATGTAGACGTAACACTTTGCAAAAACACTTCTCCACCAACTGACGCTTACCATGAAATCATAATGACTAATTGCGACGGAGACCTGGAAACCATTAGCAAATGACAGTGAACAGTTCTGAATCAACGAGTTTTGAACAGAGAGAGAGAGAGAGGCAAACTGGACGAGCAAAACTGTCAACAACCAGTAAGCCCATTGAACTCCATATTAGACCCCTATTGAAACATGTTTGGATGTTTGGGGTCTTCTGGGAATTCTACAGGAACCCTTAGGAATCCTCACACTAGTGGTAAAGTCCGAACCCTATTGCAATCCTGTTGGAATCCGATTGGAGTCCTACCGGATTCCAATTCGAATCCTCAGGAATCTTGAGGAATCCGAGGGGCCGGATAGGTCGGAAGGCGGGACATCACCTCCAGGGGGGCGAAAAGCGTTACATCTTCGCCCAAAGGTAGCGGCGTTCCTAGGTGCTCCTCGCGGTTCTCCCCCCCAGTGCTCTCCCTGATTGGCTCGGCGCTGCTCCCCCTCCCCTGGCGCGCGGAGCGCATCGCCGCGGGCGCCGCCAGGGCGGGCCCAGCACCGATGGCAAAAACATCGCTCAGGCACCTCCGAAAGCACAGTGTGCATGCAGGGCGTGCTTGTGGCCCGATTCTTGGAAGGAGGGGCAGCCTTCAGGAAAGCCCCCTGACCTCTCAAAGGCCGAACCCTCGCGCCGCGCCCTCCTTGCGCGCCGCCGATCCTCATCCGACCAGAACCCGTTCGAATAATTTCCACGGGCACCTCCAAGCTCCCAGGGCACATCCTGGCCAACTGTACATTCCACGCGCGTTTCGGAAGGCGGACCGACGCGGGCTCCTGAAAGAAAAAACGCGCTAGCAAGCAAAAGCGAAACGGGACGCCAGTGGCGGCCCAAGGCCCCGACAAGATAACGTTCGACAGGACCAGCCAGGTCCCCGTGCCCCTGACCCCTCCCGAAACTCATCCTGGCAAGTTGTTCGAACCGAGTCCAGCCGGCCGCGACCAAGAGAACTTCAACGAACGTCAGACAAATCAGAGACGACGTCGTCGACGACTCTGTCGTTCTGCGTGCCGCCCACGGCTCCGACAGGATGACGCTCGCCAGAGCCTCCGCGCCCGCGCCCGGGACTAGCGCCTCAGCCAGCCGTGGAGAAGGAAGAGAGAAGAAAAGGAGCAATACATACCACGAGGACAAGGAGGAGGAGGAGGAGGAGGAGGAAGAGGAGGAGGAGGAGGAGGAGGAGGAGGAGGGGGGGAGGTGGAGGAGGACCATCGCACAACTTGATGAGTACGAACGCGCGGCGCACCCCGCGCCGAGACAGCAGACGATCTGCCGAGTCTGACTCCGCACAACCCTCTTGGGGTCTTTATTCCTCGGGCGAAGGGCTGGAAGCTGCGGCTGCCGCCAATGCTTGGCGGTAAAACTGTTCGAGAGGTACTCGCGGGCGGAAAACCTGGCAAGCTCGAGGACCGATCTTCAGGTGGGCCAGCGCCTGCGCTCTAGCCAGCTGTGTACTGGCATGTTTTAGACACTGGTGCTCGAAAGCATCCGCGGAGCAACGGGCCCCTGGTTCCCGTTTCGGAGTACGAGTCTCAATCGAAACACATAATGACCTTGCTCGAGTTGAGCAGCTACTCGAAAATGAAAGACGGTGGCCCCTAGGGTTTTGCGCCAGCGAGGGCAGGCCAGCACAATATCCAGGGCATCGCTCAAGGCGTCTGAGATGATACTGGGCGTCGTTCTTACCAGCAGAACGGGACAGCGTACATAGGTGACGGCCATTGACAAACTCCCACCGATGGGTTTCTCCAGCTTCCTCAGGGGCAAGGGGGTGGGCGGAAGAGGCCTCGGAGGAGGGGCGGCCCCTGGGCCCCAGGCGAAGGCAGCGGAGGCAACTCCCATCGGTGGATTTAGCCAGGGCTTTCATCCCAGGGCGCGGGGCCAACGCGGGCCACTTGGGCAAAATTCCCGCGAGGAAGAATCAGGAGACGGCAAAGAAAGCTTTCATCATACTTGGCCAACTCGAGCTCGGTCTCGGAATGCTGGCAGAACTTCATAGCAGCCCTCTCGGCCGCTTTGTCAGCTGGGTCATTACATTTAGCATAGTTGATATCGTCATGATCGTTAAACATCCTGGTTCCGGCTCTGGTGGGCTTTGACTTTAACGAGATAACTCTCGGGCGGCACGACAGCTTTGCCCATCGGAACCTTGAAACCTGCATGCGCATTCCTCCTTGGGTACCCTGGATGGCGAATTAGCTGGATCGCTCCTGGGTAATCCACGTGGGCTCGCTGTACTAGCGGCGATATGGAGCAGGCTGCGACTGTTGCCAGCATCTCCGCCATCCCAGAGCCTCGAGGGACAATTTCTCCTACTTGGCCTGAGAGAATGGCATGAGGTTATCCTTCTTTCATGGATGCTACAGCCCAACCTGCGGTGCGGTCAGATGGGTGATGGGACGGGTCGATGCTGCCGTCCACGTGCACCTGGCCCTCGAAAGCTTCTTCTAGCGCGCGCTGCTCAACCCTGTGGACTCGGGAGCTCCAGTGTTAAAACGTGGTGCCTGCTAGCGCCCGAATTTAATGAGCGGGTCTCTGTCACGATTGGCTACCATCTCCAGAACTTCGGACGAAAAGGTTCGGGCTCTCTCCGCATGGGCCAGGGGGCAGACAAAAAGACGGTGGCTGATGGAGTCCGAGTGGGCTCCGCAATCACCCGTGCGTTATATGATACATCCTGCGTGTTTGGCTCTGGCCTTCGCCCTGCAGCCTTGCGCGGGGAAAGTCAACAAACTGCCCCTCTCTTGCTTGCTGAGGGCCGGGCCGGCTAAAACACGGGGGGCGGCTCTGGAGTCAAGAGTGGCCCCAGGGTGGCCCAGCTCTGAGGCAGCGGTTTCAGCAAGCTGTATCTCCCAGCCCCGACGCAAAAGGTCTTGCACGAAACCCGGGGAAAAGAAGGTTCAAGGGTACTCATGTCTGTCTCTACTTTGGAAGACGAGCAGGGAGGCCAGCTTCCTTCCAAGACATTGTAAGGATAACTGCACGGCGCCGAACGGCCCGCGCACGCTGCCCCAACGGGCGGGGGCTTGGCCCATCAGGGCTTCTCCGAGGGCCCGGAACCAGGGTGAGGAAGCAAGCCCTTGGCCTCTATTCGCGGCGGGCGCCCACGCCATTAAATGCCGCGCCAGAGCTAGGGTCTCCAACCAAAGTCAGACTGAGGGCCCTGCTTCGGCTGGCGCATGTAGGCCCTGCGAGCTTCATGCACTGCTGTCGGGCGACTGTTAGCTGCATGTCGTCGAGGCCCGTGGATTCGTGACCGAACGACGTTGCCGCGAAGATGCGTGTGTCGTAAATATTATTGGCGTCTCGTCCTACCCTCCACTTAGCTCCCAGTCTCCCCATCCTCTTCTTGATCTGGTTCATCCTAGCGGTGGCGAGGCGGTCCTTTCTTCATCGGAGCTGGGGGGCTCCTGCGGCGGTCGCGCAGCCGAGGTGGGGCCCGAAATGTCCAGCGACGATCCTGCTCGATCTCGAAGCTTGTGTTTGAGACTGTTTCGCAGCGATGTGCAGGAGGCTAGCATCCAAGTCTTGGCGGGGGCGACCGATGCACTGGGTGAGGTTTCTCGACCCACGGTCTAGCCTCAGGGTGACATTGTTCACGTGGACCGAATGCGACTTTATGAAGAGGCTATCAAGGAACATGTGGAAGTCTTAACTGGAGTTCGGCTGAGTCCAGAGTCGAGGGGATCTATGGTATACATCTGTATGAGATGCGTAGCAAACCCACACTCCGCGGCTATCCCATGCATTGTTACCGACCGACGCGACTAGGTCCTGAAGGGCAACGAACCTGGGGCTAGTGAGGATGATCCTCAGTAGCGTCGCTGGAAACCCATTGTTAAGCGCCCTGGTAGCAAGCTCGCTGCGGTTAGCATGCTCATAATAGTTGCTGAGATCGTAGATGATCATACAACTATACGACCACCCTTCGGGTGATAAGGAGGTTCGGGGGGGAGGAACCAACATCTCACTCGATCGGTCTCACTATCGATCTCACTATCGATCTCATTATCGGTCTCGCTCGATCGATCTCCCTCGATCGATCTCACAATCGATCTCACTCGATCTATCTCAGACTTGATCTGACTATCGATCTCAAACTCGATCTCACAATCGATCTCACATTCGATATCACATTCGGTCTCACTATCGATCTCACTATCGATATCACAACCGCTCTCACAATCAACGTCAGCATCATCATCATCAACAACAGCAACATCAACATCAACATCATCATCGCCAACATCATCATAATCGGGACACCGTCATCATCATCAACACCAACATCATCATCACGAACATCAACATGATCGGGACACCACCATCATCATCATCATCACCATCATCACAATCATCATCATCATGATCATCATCATCACCATCATCACCATCATCATCATCATCATCATCAGCATCGGGACACAGTCATCGTCATCATCGTCATCAGCAGCAGCATCATCATCGGGACACAGTCATAATCATCATCATCAACATCAACATCATCATACTCATCATCATCATCGGGACACCATCATCATCATCATCTCGTCCTCATCATCGACATCATCATCATCATCAGCATCATCAACATCATCATGGGCATCATCATCTTCATCGTCATCGAGGGGCACCATCATCATCATTACCAACATCATCATCAACATCATCATCATCATCACCATCGGGACGCCATCATCATCAACATCATCATCATCACCACCATCAGAATATTCATCATCATCGGGACGCCAAAATCATCATCAACCTCATCATCATCAACATCATCACAATCATCGGGACACAGTCATAATCATCATCATCAGCATCAACATCATCATACTCATCATCATCGTGACACCATCATCGTCATCATCATGATCATCAACATAATCATCATGACCATAATCATCTTCATCATCGGGACACCATCAGCATCATCATCATCATCGACATAATCATCATCATCATCAACATCATCATCAGCATCGGGACACCATCATCATCATATCATCATCAACAGCATCGTCCTCATCATCATCAGCATGCTCATCATCATCAGCATCACCATCATCATCATCATCGTCATCATCATCATCAGCATCATCATCATCAGCATCACCATCATCATCATCATTAGCATCATCTCATCATCATCATCATCATCATCAACATCAACATCATCATCATCATCATCATCATCATCATCATCATCGCCATCATCAACATCATCATCATCACCATCATCATCATCACCATCATCATCATAATCATCATCATCATAATCATCATCAACATCATCATCGGGACACCGACGGGACACCGGCGGGACACCAGCGGGACACCGCGGGCCCCCGGCCGCCCGGAAGGGAGTCATTTGGTCTGGCCGCGCCTCAGCCACACGGGACACCAGCGGGACACCGGCGGGACACACATTTGGTCCGGCCGCGCCTCAGCCACAGGAGACTTTCTCTCGCCCGCCCACGCAGCTTCGCCTCGCCCGCACGGCACGCACGACCACGAAACCGAAATCGATTTCCCGGTAGGGGGGCTCTCCGTTCCACTTCGATCTCACCCCCCAACCTCCGACAATCGCTCGGTGCGCTTGCTGCGGCACCCGCAATCTAAACGTTGTTTGACAACAAGCTCCACAATGGAGTGACCAGCTGACCAGCTTAATGTGCTAACAATGGGCGCCTGCGTTCTCTCTCCCATTTGCGAGCCGCTGACTGGCGAACACGCGCCCAAACCCGATGCAGGCCCGGCATCGTCTCAATCGAACGTACGGGTGTTCGGAGTTATAAGAAGCGGGATTATGGCCTGCATCTGAGAGGGCACGAAACTTAGCCTTTCAATCATCAGGAGCAGCTGCGCGATCAGGCCCGTCTCCTGCTCTGTGATCAGGGTGAGGTTCCTAGGGTGGACTCCGTCCCACGTGGAAGCCGCGCTAGCGGCGAAGCTTTTGGCGGCGTCTTGGGATATCTGACCCGTCATGGGTTCCAGGGCAATCCTGTCATCGATGTCCCTTGGAATAATGGAAACTTGAGGTTTCGAGGTAGTGTCCCAAATTTTCC